TAACACTCCTGAATATTGTTAGCCCTAGGTTACCCCATACTCCTGGTGAGTCCCGTCCACCAACATCCTTGTAGCCCCTCTGCTTTGTAAAAAAACAGTCTTTGACTTATTCAATTTAGGCGTCTCATCTGCTTCTTGTTAGGGCTCACGTCCACCAAGGTTCTGTAAGTAGAATCACATTTCTCACGGTTAACACTAGAAAGCTACATCATCTTCAGTTCTGAACAATTTTTTGCTGGCTTTGGATTGTAAACCTAGCTAAAGGCTGGAGGCAAAAGGTCTTTTATCTATTTTTCAAGAGTGTACAAAACTCTACTACTGCTTTTGCCACTAGGACTTGGATCTTATTGGAAGACTCACCAAAAGTGATATATGTGTCTATGTCCCTATTAAGCTATTTACCTTAGGGCAAGAACTGTAGATTTAAAATTTATCCCCAAAGCCCAACCTTGGGTCTAGAGTGCAGTCAACACATGGTAAAGTGTTCGCTTTGTGAAAAAAAAAAACAAAACAAAACAAAAAAAAAAAACACTTGTACGTCTTTAAAAATAGTTGTGAGATAAATGACTAAATGGGAAAGCCTTGATGTCCTGACTGATGGTTTTAAAGACTGCTGTAGCAATGGGGCCTTCTCTACCATCTCCAGAAGGGTGAATACTGGAGAAGGGAAAGGCTAATGCAGATTTGATAATACCCTGAAATGATTCAAAAATATCTTTCATATCCAAAGCACCTTCAGCGCACATCCTCAGAAGCAGAACACTACCAGAGGGGGAACAGCATCTCTGTTCTCATTCGCATGTGTCCATCTCCCCTACCCCCACAGAGGTCCCTTAGATCTGCCAACTCTATAGGAAACCAATTTCCTGTTAACTACAAGGGAGGTTTGTTTACTCTGTTGAAATAATTGAAAAGCTGTCATTTTTATTAGTGCCACAGCTGGTTCTTCCATCATGGAAGAAATACAATTATGTGTCTTCCTATGGCTGGATGCAGACAGCTATAACTTCATTATTTATTTGGGTAGCAAGTGAATCTTTATAATGAGCAGCGGGGAAGATGCATCCAAACCTCATTTGTAAAAGGAACAAATTTTAGCTTCTGGAATGATATTTCCCTTGTCACCATGGTGGTGGTGGTGGTGGTGGTGGGGATGTTTCGTCTTGTATTGTTACATAATAGGGCTTGATAGTTTTAGAAGCAGTCATTATGGGGACAGGGAAGAGTATGGACCTTGGCATCAGGCCAACTTGGATTCAAATCCTAGTCTGCTTCTAAATCCTAGCTTTGCGGTCGGTAGGAGCACCTTAGCTCTTCTGAGCTTTCAACTTTTAGTTTGCTTATTGATTGTTTATTAATTGATTGATTGACTTTCTGTCTCATGAAGTTTTCCTGGTTGACTCCAAATGTCTAGGCTTAAGAAATATTCCCACCTTGGCTCTTGAGTAGCAGGGCCACAGGTACACATTTCTTCTATATGTTTTATAATGCATATTTTAATCCACTCTGATCACTCTGCCATTCCTCATATATCACTGTGACTCACTACACACTGGTTTAATCTCCTTACCTGTCTCTGCCTCCTCTTCTCCCTACCTCTCGTAACCACAATTTTATTTCCTTCTTTTTTTTCAGATTCCATGTATTGAGTCACGTGGCATGTGTCTCTCTGTGACCAGCCTGTTTCACTTGATGTGATGCCTGCTTCCCAGGGTTAGCCCTGCTCTTGAAAATGGCGGGAGTCCGTCCTTTCTGACGCTGAGGGGGATTCCACTGTGTGCCGATTGCCTGTTCTTCACCCACATATCCTTGGGTGGGCACCCAGCCAGCCCCTATTGTGTAGAGTGGAGCTAGCAGAACGAGTAAAGTGGAACTAGATATAACCTAACCGTCTTCCACTCTTTAAAGCTGGGCCCTCTACTGATGCCAGACTGAGCTTCAAGCAGTCCTCCAGACTGGATCCATTTCTTTGCTCCCTCACTTTGTACACTGTTGGCTACTCTGCCTGAATTGTATGCCCTCCTTGCTTCTCTTGTTCATCAGACGAGCTTTCTTCTTCTCTTCTTCTTCCTCTTCCTCTTCCTCTTCCTCTTCCTCTTCCTCTTCCTCTTCCTCTTCCTCTTCCTCTTCTTCTTCTTCTTCTTCTTCTTCTTCTTCTTCTCTTCCTCCTCCTCCTCCTTCTCCTCCTCCTCCTCTTCCTTCTCCTCCTCCTCTTTCTCCTCCTTCCTCCTTCTCCTTTTTCTCCGCCTTCTCATTGAGTCCTCTGTAGAACCTGACCCCCCGCCCCCAAAGCCCTTCACTGGTCACTCTCTGGTGCTCTTTTCTGTTTCCAGCACCGTTTGAACACGCCCACTACATGAAGTGGCCCTGCATCACAACATTTGTCTGAGTATGTGCATTCTCATGGAAGCATCAGGCTATAAGCTTTTACTTCTCTATGCCTTGTGCTGCCCCGGTGCCAAGCAGAATGCCACGGCTATCAGTAGCTGATTTACTTAATGGAATGGAAACTTAGGTGAAGCACCTAGGGCCCTGAATGGATAATTAATGATTAGTTAAGTCAAGCTATTCTTAACTGGGATTCTTCTTGCAAACTCCCACTATGGAGGCCCTGTAGCTATAGGGAGTCAGTTGGGAAAAGCCTCTTACACTCTGTTAAGAGCATACCTGGGCTTCTTTTACTCGCCTCACACATCATACCTGAGTTTCAGTACAGAAAAGTCAACTCCAAAGGCTGATGTACCTTCATCCAGACTCACCCCTCGATACAATGAGAGTTTGCTTTTAACCTTTGTCGCTTTGTTTCCCACAAGAGGAGGCTCGTCTCATGGAGTTAAAGTTCTTGAACCAAGGGCTGGCTCTGGAAGTTATTGGACCTTCAGCAGTAATCCAGCCTTGCAAAGTTTTTTGATGCTTGAATAGCACACTAGGGTAGTACTAGTACCTGTTTATTAGGGCTAAGGAGGAGAAGGGATATAAAGCTCTTAGAATACCGTCCGGCTCCTGGTTACTGTAGGAGCGTCTGCACTGTTTTATTAATAAGGCTAGTAGTGCAGCCAGAGCAATTTCAAATGAACTCTGAATTTTGTTGACACATCCATAAAGTGCTAGTTAGAACGCTTATTTTGCGGGACTGGTTTGAGAATTCAAACCCAGAGAAGTAGGGCACTTGGGGCAGCTACAAATACACAGAGCATACATGGAGGCCCACTGAATATGGACATATTTGGGCAGATGGTTCTCACCTTTTTTTCCTTATGTATTCTCGCCCCTCTGAACATGACAGAATAGAGGCCTCTCCTCTTGGAGAGGTCATTCGCTCCCCGAGATCTAGACCTGAGGCTATTGATTCAGCTCTAACCATTTTGATTTTTCCCTTTTCACAGCTAACCCCCCTAAAACGTGTAAATACTCTGGTCTCTTCTGCCTTAGAACAAACATCATGTCTCTGTTTTGAAAAGAAAGAGAAAAACTCCTGCATTTCCATCTCTTATTTGGTCTTATCCCCCACCACTTTCTCTCTCTTCACACGCGAGCTCCTCACAGATGTGTCTGTGCAACCTGTTTCTACTTCCTCACCTCCCACTCGCTTCTCCTGATGTGACGGTAAAATCTTTTAAAAGTATGTTGAAACTTGGAGTCTCCAAGAAGGAATGAAGGGCAACGTTGATTTCTATTCTGGAAAATGTGTTGCTGGAAAGTGTTAGCCCTCCCGATGGTGAGACTCAGGTCACTCCAACACAGTTCCTCACTGATTCCTTTAATTTAATATGTGATCCAAGTATGTGCTACAGTGTGCAAACATCCCAGGTCTCTGGGCTCCTGAAACTGGGGCATGCTGTCCTCTCTCCCAGATCATGAGCCCTTCACCTGGAAGCATCTGACTTCTGATCAAGCCTGCTCTAGCTAGGGCCAGTCCCTCTGTATCCTTCCAATAAATATCTGTCCTTACAATACAAAGAGGCCTGAGCCTTCAGCAGGGTCCAAAGTTTACCTGGAATAAAAGAGGTTAAAAACAAAACTAAACAAACAAAAACCACACAGATGTGTGTTCCCCCCATGCTCTCTTTGTTCATTATGTTTCTTCTTTTTTAATATTTACTTATTATGTATACAATATTCTATCTGTGTATATGACAGAAGAGGGCACCAGAGTTCATTACGGATGGCTGTGAGCCACCATGTGGTTGCTGGGAATTGAACTCAGGACCTTTGGAATAGCAAGCAATGCTCTTAACCACTGAGCCATCTCTCCAGCCCTCCTTATGTTTCTTCTTTCTCCTGTCTCAAATCTCTGTAATGGTGAGAGACCAGGGGCAGAAGAAGCGCTTGACTGCATCCAAACGTTGTTGACCTGGAAAATTCACCTGGAAACCTCTGGAACGCCTCGCCCGGCTACCTCACGAAATTAAAGGTCGTGTTTGTGGTAAAGAGCACAGCGCCCTGCCACATCTAAGAACTTGCTAGATTTTCTTAATAGTTATATAAAGCAAGGGCCATTACTCAGTCTACTGAAAGTTAAAAGCTGAAGTTAATGTGGTAGGGTGGGGATAGGGGTCAGGGTAGGGGTCAGCAAGCAGCATCTGCTATGTGCAGAGCCTGTCATGTGCCAGAATGAGCACCGCAATGTCACTATCTCATTTAACCTTCATGGCCACAGAGATAAAAGCAGGTGTTACTGCCTGTCATTTCCTTTCTTCCTTCCTTAAAAAAAGAATAAGACGTCATGCTAGACCAGGCTGAATCTTGCTTTTGGTGAGTAAGCAGGTGGCCTTCTAGAGCTATCTGGGCTTCAGCTTGCCGTCTCTAACATGAAGGCTAGGCTGAGTAAGCCGAAAGGTTCACTGCAATCGACCTCTGCCTTGCCTAGCAATTGCCAAACACATCATCAGTGTTCTCTGCTACAGCAAGAGAAAAGGAGGTCATTTCAGTTGTAGGAGTAGACGTAGGTTGGAGAAAGAACTGGACAGCCTGTAATGGCCATTTTGTTTTTGACTCACTGTGTTGGTCTTAGTAGGTCTTTGAGACGTTTCAAAAGGGAAGCCCAGATTCAGTCTTGCTTGCAACACTTGCTAGTTGTATCACCGGAGGAAGTTCATCAGCACTCTGAGACTCACTTTTTTCATCTGTAAAAGGAGTAGATGCCCAGAGAGTTGTGGGGGAAGATGAAGCAGGAGAGGACCATGCAAACCTGCTTGACAGTGGCTGATTAGTCAATGGCAACATTAGTCTCTCTTTTCTTACAAAAAAAAAGTTTTTCTTAATCCATTGCACAGTGAAATAACCCATAGAAGATTCTAGAAAATGGCTACAAGTCTTGGATTTGCCATTTGTGGGGATTACCCCCTAGCCCTGCTTCCTGCAAACTTGTAGCCCTGCTGGAGGATATGCAGTCTCTCGGTAGCCTTGCATAAGCAAGCTGGGTATGTAGGCGGGATCGAGGTGTGTTTTCAGCAACAAGGGACGAGCGACAGCAGAGAGGGAGCGATATCGACACAATAATATTAGAGCACACAGAATAACGCGCAGCTGCCAGGTGACCCAACCCCATCAGCTTAGGAGTGCCAGTTGCTAAGAGCCAGATGCACTGGGGGTTTACTTATCCTGTTAATGGAAGTGAAGAGAAAACGTGAGACTTTTTGGAAATAATTTAACGAACTCTTCTGTTTACTTTAGTCAGTTTGAAGCCATTTGTCATTTTAAACAAGTATGTTGAGTTCTTCCTGTGCGTATACCTGGCTCTAGGCCCTGGGCAGATGGCGGTGAATCAAGCTCTTGCCTTCATGGAGCTTATGTTGGATTCGACTGTCTCATTTAGAAGTTCAAGGAAAGTGACTCAAAGTGACTGGCCAAGCAGATCTGAATCTGAGCCTTCTAAACACTAGGTCAGGATCTTCATCAACCACTGCCTTGGTCCTTATGTACTGGTAAAGCAGGGTAGCAGTGACGAGGCAGTTTACAGTAGACAACTATCGTAAATAGTTCACCACCCTGAAGGCTGGGAAGTCCAAGATGGAGGAGGTGGTGTCTGGCATGGACTTCTCTTTTACATTGTCTCATGGTGGAAAGCCAAAGAGAGGCTGACAGAAAACAAGATGGGGTCAAACTTGTCATATGATGCGTTAAACCTAAAATAATGAACCCACTCCCAAGATAAGGACATTAATCCATTCCCAGAGACAATGACACTACGGCCCAAACTCTTCCTATTATTAGGCACCATCTCCAAACACTGTCGTATTAGAGACCAAGGGTTTGTCCTAGGGATTTTGGAAGGAATTTTCAGACCGTAGCAACTACAGTTTATGAAATAGCCATGTACAGCGTATTTTAAGCATGGCTGAGATATCACGCCTGCTAGACAAATAGAGCCCTCACTCTGGGAAATTCTGCAAGTCCAACAGTGAGGTTTCTTTCATTTTTAGTGCCTCGGTGTTCCTGCATACTGATATCTAGCTGCATGAGATTTTAGAGTATCAGCGGATGTGAGGAGACAAAACTAGGATACCCGGACATAGTGGCACACACCTTTAATCCCAGTGCTCAGGAGGCAGAGGCAGGCAGAGCTCTGTGAGTTCAAGGCCAGCCTGGTCTACAAAGAATCCCAGGCCTGTTACACAGAGAAACACTGTCTTGAGAGGGGAAGAGTGGGGTATCATGTAACAGTTGACAGCTGAAAGACACATGGTCAAGAAAATTTTGCCTTCCTCCTCATCTCTCTGAGCCCTTAGTTTCCACTCATAGAAAGAGTGACTGGAATTAGGATGACCTCTAAGTTCTCAAGATCTCAGTTCTGTGATAAATTACCCAACAATTATGCAACACACACACACACACACACACACACTGCTCTAGAATGCAGTTCCAGAAAGTTCCTGTAGCTTCCCCATGAAACATATGAAGTTCCTTTTCCTCAGTTCATCCTGGTTCTGAAGTAGGTGCTGTCTTGTGCTTAGTGAACAGTAGGTTCAGTGTCTAGACGTCTGCAAGTGTCTCTGTTCCAGGAAGGCGGGGACTGGGGGTCACCCTGCCAGGTGATATTTTTTGTAGATTTTTTTTCTCCCCCATCAGAATACAAGTACTCTGATGTGGGGGGCTGACTTATTTATCCCCTTGCCCCAATGCTTGCCATTGGAAGCATCAGTCAGTACAGACAGTTCAGGGTGATGGAAATAGCGGATGATGTCTGAACACTGTACTGTTAGCGTCGCTGGCAGAAGGTACAGAAGAGCCTCCATCACTGAGCTCATCGATGATGCTAGAGCTGAGCACTTACAGGTGGGGAGGTTAATGCAGCTCACTTGTGGTCTTGTGGCCAGAAAATAACAAATCTGAGACTTCTTTCTCTCCTTTCGTTTCTTTTATTCACTATTGAACATGGGTAACTTTTGACAAAATTTATCAGAACAAGATGAATTTTTAAAAATCCATGGAATCTTTGGGCTTTGGAATTTAATACGTGAGTTCAAATTCGTCTGTGCTTCCAAGCACTGAAGCGATCTGTAGACACTTACCTTTGCTGCAACTCAGCATCTGATGTGTAAGGTGGGAAAGGTTCTATCTCTGATAGTTCCCTACAGACTGTCCTACAGGGGAGTACCATTTGAAGGCCTACGCCATGGGGTCCTTCTTTATTGTTAACTCAGTTTTTATTTGTTTTGTTTTTTCAAGACAGGGTTTCTCAGTGTAGTCTTGCGTGGAACTTGCTCTGTAGACCAGACTGGCCTCAAACTCACAGAGATCCACCTGCCTCTGCCTCCTGTGTGGTGGGATTAAAGCTGTGTGCCCACCACCGCCCAACTGTGAAATCTTCTGAAGAACCCTCTTGCTGAGTTTAGGTAACAAGCAGAAACAATGTGAGTTCCCCACCAGACTTTCTGTGTATACTTCCTGGACTACTGAAGTTGATCAGTCTTGCTTCTAACACAAATGGCTTTATGTTGACTTGTGATTTTTGCCCTTTCTAATGCTGTAGCCTAAGCTAAGGCCTTCTCCTAGTGGGTCTCAGACAGGTAATTGCTCCTTGCTACCACCACTGGCCTTTCTCATCCCAGACACCAATCTCACCAGACACAGCCTGGTACAAAGACGGATGCATTCCTGGAAGAGGAGGTTTCCTGGACAGGCTTGGGTTAAGCCACACCAGTTGCAGATGCTCTGGCCAGAGAGCTAGGGAGCCCCTAGCAGCTCCAGCTGTTTGGCAGCCTGGAGGAGAAGAGTTTGAGTGATGGGGCCCATGCATCAGCACCTCTGTGTTTTAAAAGGGCAATTGACGTACCATGGACCTCGTCACATACACAGTGACTACAGTGACATCTGAATCCCCGTCTCATTACTCACTGAGTGCAGAACACTCCACACAGGAAGATGACTCGCTCCTCCAATGAGATGCAGAAAGGCCTTCTACGGAAATGATTTGAAGTGTTTAAATATCCTGTTTCTTAGCTTGCTTCTCCTCTGTCAAATCCTTTGGCTTGAGTAGAGACCTTTATTCAAAGAACCTGATTGTAGCATTATCTATTGAACGCCTCAATGGGTTTTCATTTGTACTTATGCCAGGTATAGTACTTCAGCTATCACTCAGCTCCCTTTGTGCTTTTGACAAGGGAAGGACAGATTTGTCATAGCCGTGGGAGAAAATGGAATGAGCAGGCTGCTTTTACCTTGTAGAAATTTAATAAGAAGTGATGTCTCACATTCGCCACGGATCAGGCACGGAGACAAGGAACTGTGTGTCTCTTCTATGCCAGAGTCAACGGATGGATAAAAGCAGGAGAAGACAGAGTGGTGAGAGACCTCTTAACCTCATGCAAATCACTCTAGAAGCAGGGCAGTAAAACAACATTGCAACCGAAGGAATGGGTTAGCCAGATTCTCATACTAAAACACAAATGGATATATAACTCTCTGGTCTCTGGAATCAAGGAGGGGTCTGTTACCTTTGGAGAGTCTCTCTTCATCTACAGCAGGTGTTCTAGCAGCGAGGACAAGGTAGATCCTTGGATCCTCAGGTCTAAAGGAAAGAAATGGAAAGAGTTAGGCATGGAAGAGGAACCACCAACCAAAGGGTCTGGAGAATAACAGGCCCTGGGATCAGGGAAGGGATACTTAAGTAAATCTTGTAGTAAGGTATTGGTGGAAGGCACCATGGTATCATAGGAAGTTCATGGCTTAGGATCTGATCAAACATACATTATAATCCCACTTTGGCTACTGACTAGCTGATAGTATAGACTATTTTCTTTGATATCATCTTTAAAATAATTCTTAGACTCTGTGAGTTCGAGGCCAGCCTGGTCTACAAGAGCTAGTGCCAGGACAGGGTCCAAAGCTACAGAGTCTCGAAAAACCAAAAAAAAAATTCTTAGAGAGGTGGCTCATGGCTATTATTATCGATAAAAGAGCCTTGGATTAGAAACCCCGGCCAACCATTTGTGAACCTTAAGTTTCCTAAAGTTTCTGGATTTCTGTACTGTGATAAGAATAATCATCTGGTAGATGGGAATAGCTGAAACAGAGCAGGTTAAATGTCATCCTAAGACCCAGAAAACAGAAAACACTACATAAATGTCTTATGACTTAGGCTAGTGAGCCCAATGTGTTGTTAGTAAAACCATAAGAAATTGGACTTTCTGGGGAGTCTAGGGAGTGAAAACCATTATGGGATATGTGAGAGGTTACTGGTAGTTGTCTCGTCTTCCTGAAGCCATGCCTGTGGCCTGGGTAGGTCACTGTGTTCCTTTGAATTCTGATAGTGGTCTCAAAATGGATGTGGCAACTCTAAGCTAGAAAGGTGAGCTGGGCCTGTTTTATTACAGTCACATGATCACACTTGCTACCCATAGCAACATTACCATGTTCTCCCTTAACAAGGAGGTAGAAGGCCAAAGAGTTTACCCACCTGGAAGTCAGCACTGGCTCAATGTTTTGAACTTGGTCAGAATTGCTGAGTCATTCTTTCACCTGTTGAAATGGGGAGGTGGTGGTTACTTCTAAAGCTGTGGTCGGCAAGGACCTGCCCTGTTTGGTTCTGCAAAGGAGGCTAATGGTGTTCATGCTATTCCTACGATAGAACCATGATCCTGTGGCTATAATAGATGCTTTCTGATGACCCCCCTGCTACGGATGCTCTTTTACATGAACACTTTTCTGTAGGAAAACACATTCATTGGTTTTTATGATGTTTCATTTATAAACAAGAAAGGAGATTTTAGCAAGGCTGTCTAACGCTATCAGTCAGAGAAAACGCTGAGAAGTTTGGTCCCTTAAAAGTCCCGTCTTCCAAAAAGGCAACCCACTGACTGGGAGAAGATCTTCACCAACCCTACAACAGACAAAGGCCTGATCTCCAAAATATATAAAGAACTCAAGAAACTAGACTTTAAAAAGCTAATTAACCCAATTAAAAAATGGGGCACTGAACTGAACAGAGAATTCTCAACAGAAGAAATTCAAATGGCCAAAATACACTAAAGGTCATGGTCATCCTCCTTGGTGATCAGGGAAATGCAAATTAAAACAACTTTGAGATACCATCTTACACCTGTCAGA